GTTCACACTGAAATATCTTACAGCTACAATGTGCTTCAAAGGAAGGGATTAGGTATCAATCATTCCAAACCTGATGTCTCTCCTCGACAGTTAGCTGACATAACCCCAAAGGATCACATTTCAGAGTCAAGAGCAAGAATTAAGCTACATAAATTGACCTGTTTGGATGTTTCTAGCTTGTCTGTTTTTAATGCACAGACTGCTATAGAAACACGAGATCTAGCAAAAGATTAAACTGTTCTGGTCCCCCTCCCAGGGCAGACTGACCTACAAGACCCTGACACAGTGCTGAGAGCTGAAAAAGCACATGAGATCCTTACAGCAAGGTTACTTAGAAGGAGAAAGACTTTCCTCAAGGTAAACTTTGGGAATCATATGAATATATACACATATATTTTGTATAAACATAGGAATAATTTCAGGAACTGCTGTTTATTTTATATGCGAATGCATACTTGGATTTTACCTTAGTGTGACTGCAGTTAAGTGGTAAGAGTTGGACTCAGTGATCCATATTAATAATAGAATCATAGAATCACCAGTGTTAAAAAAGACCTCCAAGATCATCCAGTCCAACCATCCACCTTCCACCAATATTTCCCATTAAACCACTTCCCTCAGTACAACACCTAAATGTTTCTTGGACACCTCTAGGGATGGTGACTCCACTAGCTCCCCGGGCAGCCTGTTCAAGTGCCTGACTGCATTTTTGGAGAATAAATTTTTCCTAAAATCCAACTTGAATCTCCCTGGCACAACTTGAGGCCATTCTGTCTCATCCTGTCAATGCTACCTGGGAGCAGAAGCTGACCCCCACCTCACCACAGCCTCCTTTCAGGTAGCTGTAGAGAGCAGTGTCTCTCCTGAGCCTCCTCTTCCATGAATGGACAACCCCAGTTCCCTCAGCCACTCCCCATAAGATTTGTGCTCCAGACACTTCACAGCTTTTCTTTCTCTGGACATGCTCCAGGACCTTGATGTGTTTCTTGTAGTGATGGGCCCAAAACTGAACACTGTACTCAAAGTACAGCCTCACCAGGGCCGAGTACAGAGGGATGATCACTTCTTTGATCCTGCTGGCTGCGCTGTTTCTGGTACAAGCCAAGATGCCATAAGAATCCTTTCCAAGTTGAGATATTCCATGATTCTGTGATATTAAGGTAGCTAGCTAAGGTTAAAACATTCCTCATCCAAAAGTGTGTCAAACCTTTGAGCTGGAGCCCAGCGACATCTTAAAACTCATCCTCCACAACATCCAGAGTAACAAGAGCTGCATATGTCTGCTTGAGAGTTGGTAGCACAGGCACTGGGGAAACTCAAGTCTTCCAGTGGTGGTGACAGCAGAGGCTCTCTGACATACAGCAAGGGACAAAGCCACACATTTGAACCCCAGAGATCGTGGCACTGAGACAGGACCCTGTATTCAGGTTTAAAAGCAATTCTAGTGATTTGCGTAAATTTTCTTGTTGCGTTGAGTAAATATACAAATGGTAAAACATAAATGCCTACAAAGTGAAATGAGAATATTGCTTTCAGAATTTATAGAATATTACATCTGTGGCCTAAATTTTGACTTGATAAATTAATTTAAGATTAAACTAATTCCTTAATTCAAATAATTAATTTAATGCAAACTTAATTTAAAGTGAGACATTCGTATGAACAATTTACCAGTGTTCTTAGTGCACTTCTTCCTTCTGTGGCATTGTTCACATAAGATTGATCTTTCATTGCTGGGATGACTAGAGCTTTTGAAACAGGAAAATGATGGAGAAATCATTAAGGCATTGATTAAGGCGTTGATTATCGCATGCAAAAGATGGTGAAGCACTTCAGGGATAAAAGGCATTGGCAGACGAGCTGTTCGATTGGTTTGCTGTTCTTGTTTTCCTAACATGTTTTGTGTAAGAGCCATCACATTTAAAAGTACCTGGTTCTTCTCTTACTCAAGAAGACAGAAAAACATATGGTTTGGGCCTTTAATTGGTCTCCCTTCTAAGCAGATTTTGCAACTCTGGAAAAAGGAGTGCGTGTGTGGTTTCATGTGTTTTTTTGTTTGGTTGTTTTGTTTTTTTTTTCTATATTCCCATGCTTATTTGCAAAGAGATCTCATTTGTCTTTGTGTTTCAGCCAGTTAACTTCCTTAGTACCAGAGGTCTGGCAAAGGAAAGCAGAGAAACTACCAGGTATTGTCCAGCCTGCCCTCCTCTTTTCATGCTATGTATAATAGTATTTCCCATTCTTGGCAGTGCACAGATTACATTCACTGCTGTTCATTTGCTGCTCTGAGCTTGAACAATTTAAGTTGTCTGCTAGAAACTGGTTAGAAGAATCAGTGCTTGTATGATTCAAAGGGCTGAATGCATCTGGCCAGGCTAATTTTAGTCTTGTGATAAACCACAGGAAAAGTCAGCAAGTTTTCACACACACACACCAAAAAAAAAAAAAAAAGCATATTCTATACTTCTCTTTTTGCAATATAACATCCAAGTTCCTGCAAAAGTCACCATGGTGAGATAACAGGAGGATCTATCACAATTAATGTCTAACATTTCAGCACGAATGAGACTTGCATCTGTTCAGATCCTCACATTTCATGTATCGCTGACCTGGCAATCATTATAAGAAGAAGATGAAGTACAGAAAAAAAGACATTTTGATCCCGAGACATGCAGAGATGATCTAAAAGGGGCTTTCTGAGCCTGTCCTTTATCCTTACGCAGCTTTTCCATTTCAAGTTAAATACCCAGGTTCTCTCTGGGTCAAAGATGCTGAGACTCGTATGCAGGCTGACGTCTAAAGCACTACCATGAGGCAGATACATGTTCTAGGGCTTGCTCCTGTCAGTGGAAAAATATTTTATGAAAATAAACAGCTTCAGTAAGAAAAAAAAAAGAGAAATCCCTATCAGACCTGTAGACTCGATAACTGCTGATAGTGCACTCTGCTAAACTCGCATTTTTGTTAGCCAATATGGTAATTGATTTCTGCACTCTCAGTGATGCCATTCGATCTGTTACACTGGAGTCCCTCTATGTATCTGTTATGTGTCTGGAATGGTTTCTAATTTGTCTTATTTTTCATCTTCAGCAGTTTTTTAATAATTCCTAATTTGGGGCATCACAAGAATATTTACCTGACAAAAAACACCTGTAAAACTAGTAGGAATGTTACTTTTTAAACATTTCATAAACATTTCCATTAGTTCTTTCATTTTTGTTGCTTTGTTTTCTCTTATTTTATCCTGCTCTTAATTGATAGTAATTACAAACTCATGCAGCCTGAGCTGTGCCACATTACACGTTTAGCCCAGGTTACAGTTCCAGACTTTTGCAGTAACCAGATTAGGGCTGGGAGGTGTGAGTCAGATGGCAGGCATGACTTACAGCTGAGAAGGAGCTTCTTTGTAAACCACATCTCAAGTGTGAAGACAACTCCTGTATTCTAAGTGGTAAAAGACAGCTTCTAAGGCTGTCCTCCACCTCTGTGTTAATACGCCCTGGTATCTGGCTGCAGGATTGAAAACAGTTTTGCTTAAACCATCGTGGCTTGACCTGATGGCTTGACTTTGCATTGAACCCAGCCTTGAAAGCTTATGCACATTTAGATAAAAATTGCTCTCCCTTGGGAAGCAACACCTGGGAGTCCAACCCCCTGCTAAAACAGGTTCCCTATGATAGGTAGCACAAGTAGGCAGATGGGTCTTCAATATCTCCGTACAAAGACACTCCACAGCCTCTCTGAGCAACCTGTCCCAGTGCTCCATCATCCTTACCATAAGGAGGTTCTTCCACATGCTAGTACAGAACTTCCTGTGTTCCAGTTTTAGGCCATTACACCTTGTGCTATTGCTACACACCACCAAGAAGAGCCTGGCCTCATCCATTTTCCTCTAATCTCCCTTTAGATATTTGTAAACACTGATCAGATCTCCAGGTCAGTCTTCCCTCCGCCAGGCTGAATGGACCCAGGTTACCCAGGCTTTCCTCGTACAGGCACCGCTAAACGACATTTTGTCCTGCCACTGGGAAGGGCTGTGCAGCACATGGTGCTAAGGAACACAGGCCTGCTCCTCAGGTGGAGGGAAGGCCCTCTGGGACACAGGCACAGCACACTGCAGTCATGCCACCACTGCCACAAGATATCTGTAATGCTAAAACCTGAGGTATCAGGTCTTCTGGAGCATCTGTATCCACCAGCACCTGTTCTCACTGGCCTGACTGGTTCCTGTGAAACGCTCTATGCATTGACCATGTGCGTAATCGCTCTGCCACCCAGTGGTCCTTGCAGGCAATTGAGTATCAAAATACCTGTCAGAACATCGTTGTGAACTGATGCTCGACAAAGGAAAGGATTGTTAAAAGAAGCAGTAATTTTAGAAGGGAAAAGCAACTGTTAGGAGGGGAAACAACTGTTTACATAGGCTGAATAGTGAATAGGACCAGAGGAATGGTTTCAAACTGAGACAGGGGAGGTTTAGGTTAGATATTAGGAGGAAGTTTTTCACACAGAGGGTGGTGAGGCACTGGAACAGGTTGCCCAAGGAGGTTGTGGATGCCCCGTCCCTGAAGGCATTCAAGGACAGGCTGGATGTGGCTCTGAGCAGCTTGGTCTGCTGGTTGGCGATCCTTCACATAGCAGAGGGGTTGAAACTAGATGGGCATTGTGGTTCTTTTCAACCCAGGCCATTCTGTGATTCCATGACTCTATGAAAAATCTTTAAACAACACAATCTTTGCATAGGATTGCAAATACAAACATACTCAACTGTCATTTATATTTCTACAGACTGAACACGAGAATAACTACTTCAAGATAGTAAAAATAAAGCCATTAATATACTAGTAAGTTAATATTCTCTTTCACAAATGTTTCTCACAAGTAGGTGCTTGTCTTGTGTTCTCAAAATATTTAAAGATCTCTTGGAGTGCTGAAGCAATGGGATAAGCTTAGGAGAGCATTCTTCTAAAACAAACCAGATACTGCATCATGCTTAGATCTTTCAAAATGATCAACTATAACCAGTCCTTTTATTGCATTACAGAGTACCAGAAATCCTTGCAAAGAAACAGCTTTGCTGTAGCTCTGCATCCAGGAAACTGGGTGCCACAGGAGCTGATGGAAGGAGGCACATACAGAGGCTGCTTTGCTGAAGCAGGACCATAGCAATCTTCTCTCATAAGAACAAATTCTGTTCTGTTGAAATATAAAACCTAATAGCAATATTGTCCAGGCAGAACTGCAGTGGGAGCACCGTCCTGCTCTCTGTAGCCCAGCAGACAAGAAAATCATCAGTGATTTTGTCTGGAAAGAAAACTTCAGCAAGACAAATACACTCGGGAAAGTGGGATGAAATGAGGAGAAAAGGCACATGAAAGAACGTGAAAAGGAATGGGGAGAATACATAATAAAGAAGTGAGACTTGAGCTGAAGAAAAGAGGGAGAGAATCAAGTAGGGATGAGAAGCTGGAAGAAAGACCAAAGCAACTGAGCCAAGCTGAGACAGAAAGTGGAAGGAATATATTTTCTTTGTGATGTCCATCAGAGCTTTTCCTCCCTGTATTACGCAGTCTTCACAGTGGGATGCTGTCTGTCTCCACAGCAACCAGCAGCCATGAAACCTTTCTTCCCTGCCTGCATTGACTGCTCTCTGGAGAGGAGCCCTCAAATTGTCATTGTTAGAAAAGTCAGAAAAGAGAACAGTGTAGAAAGCATTTCAGAACACTCTCTCACTGCATATCTCCAACACAGAAGAGAGTTGGCCACACCTGTACATTTCTTACAACAAATTTGGCAGACCCCGGCGCCCAATCGCTTAAAAACAAAACTTGCACAGACTTTTCAGTTAAAGATTCCTAATTGTCGTAATTGCTTTTGATGTTTCATTAAAATTATTAAAATGTAGATCTCCAAGGAAGGCTTGACAGGCAGCATCTCACCTCAGGCCTCACACTGCATCAATTCACAAGCAGTTCACAACGAGAGTGGCTTCATCATCCTCTCAACATCATCCACTCAACAGTTTCCTAAGCAAATGCAGTTCGGTTAGGCAAGGCCCGTGCCAAAACTGTGACGTGTAGATGGGAGAAGATGAGACTACAAGGATCTCTCCTAACTGTACAGGCAATAAAGCTATTTTTTGAGTTGGGCACAATCACAGATCTTCACCAACGCATCTGTGAAATGAAAACAGAGTTACTCTTGTTCATTGATTATAGCTTACCACGTGATATCAAACTGTTCAGTATCTCATGACATTAATGCCCCTCGTGATACACTCACTGTTAATCATTACTCAGAGTTGTAAGAAAATTCCAACTACTCATTGACTCAATGGGAAAATAAAATGCTTCATCCCACAACCACCTCTGGTATTCAGCAGGAGGAAAAAAATACTGCAGATAGTTAGGATTTTCAGAATAAAATGTTGACATATTTGCAGAGTTTTTTGCAGTTTCTTGTCAAGCAGATGGTGTGGGACTAAAACGCACAATCTAGTCCCTAAATGGTGCCCTTAGTGTGCTGGGGAGCAGGGTGGAAGGGGAATAGTCTGCTCCTCCAGTCATTTGGCACCAAGAGGAAAGCTGAGAACGACAAGGTCAAGTTAATGTCATTCTTGGAATATTTGGAAGGCTAAAGCCCAAGGTTTAATGAGGGTGATGATAGAGAGTCAGGGGTGCTTTGTCAGGTGCTGCAGCTCACTGCCAACACATTCAATGGACAATAAGGAGCAGATATGCTGCAAGTATGGTACTGGTAGAGGATCAGGGTCATTGTATAAAAAAGACATATGCAGTATAGAGTGTTATACCACAGTCATGAACCTAGGTTAAAACTGATTAAATTCTCAGAATTCTTCAAAGTAATTAAAAAAGATGCTAATAAACTCCTCAGCTTTTCCTAGTTAATGTCTTCTGGGACTGTGAGCCAGAGAAGAAGGATGATTTATGAACCATGGGACTCTAATCAATCTAAAAAGCTTCTGTCCTGTAGAACAATGAATCGTAATATATGCTAATTGCTACAAAGGGAGGTTCTAGGCCATAGTAGGAGAAATCTTTCCATATTATTATTTTTTAATTCTTCCAGACCACAGAATATTCTCAACTGATAATTTCCACTCACCCTGTCCTTTTTATTCTTATATCATAGATTTACCTGAGTTACTTGAGCTCTTCACAAATGTAAGCACTGGATGATCTCCTTCTCCATACTCATCCAATTTCCTCGGGATTTGCAAAATGTCAAAACCCTCTAACTTATTAAAAAAAAAAACAAAATTACACAGAAACAGATACTTGTTCTACAGTTTCTTGATCAAGCCAACACTGATTTTGATTGACAGAATTTTTAAGATGTGCTCATCTGTATTGTTTTAATTTGCTGTGTGTAAGGGCCTCCTGTGTAATGCTTTCCTGACATTGTCTTCATGGTATTCATCTGAATTTTCATCCTGTTGTTTTACACTGTCATTTTCCTACGTCAATGCACTTCTCTGTTGCATACTCTCCCACAGACGGAATATTGGAAGCATATTCCTGACTATTTTATATTTTGCAAAGTCTGCTGTATATTACCTGGATTTTATTCTCACGTTCTTTTATTATTTATTATTATTATTTTAATTTCAGACTCATGCAAATGTAATGAGCATGTCATTTGCAGAACTTTTTGCTGTGGTGTACTTGCAATGCACAGCCCTAGCAATATCTCAAAACTATAAATACATAAACTGCCAAAATAAAACTTCCTGAGGTTAGTACATACTGTGCAGATACTGGTTAATCAGGAAACAAGGGCATGTGTGAGAACTTGACAGATGATATAGAATGATGTTTATTACGTCACTATTTGTAAGATCTCCAGACTGAAATTTAGCCACAAAACACTATAAAACACTATCGGGGAAAAAAAAAATACAATAATAATTAAGTGTATCTATTATACCTTCTTCTGCTTTATTGCTTATGGCAAGAGTTCCCTTCATGAACACCAAATAAAGAGGCACGCTGACCTGGCCATTGCATTGTTCACACTAATATTTAAGTCTGATTGCATGTTTATCTTCTCCTAATTTGAATGTAACTGTTTTGCATTTCTCTGTTATCCCACTGAGACGGAAGAGGAAGTGCTTATCTCAGTTAGCAATGAACTCTCTGGTTTCTCTAATAATTGTATGAAATTTTCCCCATTTGAGTCTTGGACTTATGTTCTGCTTTGTGGTGCTTTCCTGGCTGACATTCTCAGATATCAGTATTTTACAAGGACATGAGAATAGACAGTAATCAGTGCCTACAACATAGAACACATGAAGTGCTGGTCTCATTTGTTAAAATTAAAAGAAACATTTCTTACTCAAGAATCAATTCCAATAGAGAGCAGAAAAGTGATTCAGAGGGTCTGAGTTTGTGTAGGGTGCTAAGTTATGACTTAAAGCCAGAATGCTGTGATTAATAGACAAATACATCACAAAGGTTAACCTTTCTGATTCTTTCTAAGTCTTCTGTGGATTGCATTCCACAGAAGGGGTCATTCATTTTGACTTCCACAGAATCTCTCATGTTCCACGATGTGTAGTAGAGTAAGTTTTTTTTCTCCTGTTATCCATAACTTGTTCCTTTCAGAGGTATTTGCCACTTCTCACAGAATAGATACACATTTTTCCTTAAATTCATAATTGCTTATACATCTGTTGTATCTTCTTCTTCTAAATTTTTCCCAACTGAAATGATCTAACCAATCGTCCAAATGATCCTAACCAAATGATCTAATCTAATCGTCCAGAGGAGGGCGACTAGGATGATCAGGGAGCTGGAGCACCTCTCCTACAAGGACAGGCTGAGGGAGTTGGGCTTGTTCAGCCTGGAGAAGAGAAGGCTGCGGGGTGACCTCATTGCAGCCTATCAATACCTGAAGGGAACCTACACCCAGGGGGGGAGTAAACTCTTCAAAAGGGCTGACAACAGCAGGACTAGGGGAAATGGATCCAAGTTGAAGGAGGGAAGATTTAGGTTGGATGTTAGGGGGAAGTTCTTTACTAGGAGAGTGGTTAGGCCCTGGAACGGGCTGCCCAGGGAGGTTGTGGATGCCCCGTCCTTGGACGTGTTTAAGGCCAGGTTGGACGGGGTCCTGGGCAACCTGATCTGAATGTGTATGTTTGGTGGCCCTGCTAGGCAGGGGGGTTGGAACTACATGATCCTTGAGGTCCCTTCCAACCCGGGTGATTCTGTGATTCTGTGAACCAGGTTAGTCTCTTTTCTGTGAAAATCAGATGTCTCAGGAGGCCCTTTTCTGTATCTTGTGTAGCAGCTCACAGGTTAGAATATCATGCTTTATTCAAAATAGGCATACACAATGGATTTATACAGTGGCATAGTTATAGTCTGGTGTCGGGTTGTTGTTTTTTCCTTGCTTTTATTTTTTAAGACGGAAATGTAGCACACAGTGTAGACAGTTATTCTACCGTTGTCTCACAGAAGTCTATGACAATTACTGAAATGTCATTCAGAGGTTTGCAGCCACATCCACAGGTCCAGCTCCCATGACCACCTTCTGTACTGAAACATGATGGACGTGTCAACTGATGAATATTTCCCAGCAATGAGGAAAAACTGTTCAGTAGGCAAAAATGTAACGTTCTCATTAATGTTAAATATTACAGATGGCATTTGAACTGAAAAAAAAAAAGAAAAAAACCCTATGTCTTGAATTAAGTTTTGTGAGGCTCTAATCAAGCTGAGCCTCTCTTGTGGAATAATTTCCAGCAACTGTAACTGTGAACTGTGTAATTATCAGCAGGCTGATAACTCATTGTGGTGTTCAACTTCAGTGCTCTGCCAATCTTTCCAGTGCTGCCTTTGCTATCTTTTATTTTCATAGCCACCTATGTTGTGCTTTGAAAGTTACTCAGAAGTTTCTACTGTGTGTTTCAATCTTCTTTGACATTTAAATGCCCCACTACATTTAGGGGAATCTTGTCCTAGATTTTATTATAGTTCCCAAATACATGAATTGAAATCACACCTAGAAAGTCATCCTCCTAATGTCATGCCTGATGTCTAGAGCTTGATAGTGGTGTAGCGTTACAACGAATGTTATCTCACAGTTCATTGTTTCATGTCTTTGCTATGGAGCTTTGGAGTTATTTGAACCTACTTTCTTTGATTTGTCACAGCCGTCCCTGATTTATTGTGTGTTCCCATCCTTGCTGTTTATATCCTTGCTGAGCCCTTGATGAGCCCTGGGAAATATTATACAGTGCCAGGAACTTCAAAGGCAAGACTATAATAATCTTCAGTGATCCATTTTGTGCTTTGCTAACTTCTGTCAATGTTAGTCGACAACATTCCATTAACAATAATTTCCATTAACATTAGTCACTTGAAAAAAGCTAATCTTGCTTGATAATTGACTTAACTCCTGCCTCCCCTTCTGAGGCCTGCTGAGGATGCAGACTGTTCAAAGCTTCACACTGGTGTGAGATCACATCCTGAGAGTGATGGTCAGTTGCTCAATTTCCAAATGGAGATCAGTGATGAGTGGTGTCTCTCAGGAGTCAGTAATAGGACTGGTACTCTTTAATTTCTTAATCAGTTACAACAATAGTGGGGTTGAGTGCACCCTCATCAAGTTCACAGATGACACCGAGCTGTGGAGTGTGGTTAATACAACCAAAAATTGGGATGCTGTCCACAGAGATCTAGACAGCCTTGAGCTGTGGGCCAAGAAGAACCTCATGAGGTTCAACAAATCAAAGTGCAAGGTCTTGCATCTCAGACATGGCAATCATGTTGCCGCCAGTACAAGCAGGAGAATAAAAGCATGGTGCATACCTGTGCTGAAAGCACTTGGGGGTACTGGTGGATGGGAAGCTGGACATGAGCCAGCAATGGGTCCTCACAGCCCAGACAGCCAACCGTATTCCGGGCTGCATCAAAAGAAGCATGGCCAGCAGGGTGGCCAGAGGAAGGTGATCCTGCCCCTCTGCTCTGCACTGGTGAGGCCTCACCTGGAAAACTGCATCCAGATGCAGAGTCCTCGGTACAGGAGAGGTCATAGGACCTGTTGGAGTGCATCCAGAGGAGGGCCACAAAACTGATCCGAGGGATGGAACCCCTCCCTTACAAGGACAGGCTGAGAGGGGTGGGGCTGTTCAGCTTGGAGAAGAGAGGTTCTGAGTTGACCTGAGAGCAGCCTTTCAGTAGCTAAATGGGGACTATGAGAATCACAGAATCACCCGGGTTGGAAGGGACCTCAAGGATCATGTAGTTCCAACCCCCCTGCCTGGCAGGGCCACCAAACATCCACATTCAGATCAGGTTGCCCAGGACCCCATCCAACCTGGCCTTGAACACGTCCAAGGACGGGGCATCCACAACCTCCCTGGGCAGCCCGTTCCAGGGCCTAACCACTCTCCTTGTAAAGAACTTCCCCCTAACATCCAACCTAAATCTTTCCTCCTTCAACTTGGATCCATTTCCCCTAGTCCTGCTGTTGTCAGCCCTTTTGAAGAGTTTACTCCCCTCCTGGGTGTAGGTTCCCTTCAGGTATTGATAGGCTGTAATGAGGTCACCCCGCAGCCTTCTCTTCTCCAGGCTGAACAAGCCCAACTCCCTCAGCCTGTCCTTGTAGGAGAGGTGCTCCAGCCCCCTGATCATCTTAGTCGCCCTCCTCTGGACCCTTTCCAAAATCTCTATGTCTTTCTTGTACTGAGGGCTCCACACCTGGACACAGTACTCCAGGTGGGGCCTCACAAGAGCCGAGTAGAGAGGGACAATCACCTCCCTGTCCCTGCTGACCACCCCTCTCCTGATGGAGCCCAGGATCCCATTTGCCTTTCGAGCTGCCAGAGCGCTCTGCTGGCTCATATTCAGTCTCTCGTCCATCAGGACCCCCAGGTCCTTCTCTGCCGAGCTGCTCTCAAGGACCACTCCTCCCAGCCTGTACAGGTGCCTGGGGTTCCTCCGGCCCAAATGCAAAACCTTGCACTTTGCCGTGTTGAACCTCATTAGGTTCACCCGAGCCCAGCTTTCCAGCCTGTTGAGGTCCCTCTGAATGGCATCCCTTCCTTCCACCGTATCAACCGCACCACTCAGCTTGGTGTCGTCAGCAAACTTGCTGAGGGTGCACTCAATTCCCTCATCGATGTCATTAATAAAGATGTTAAAGAGCACCGGTCCCAAGACAGACCCTTGGGGGACACCACTTGTTACCAGCCTCCACCTGGACATAGAGCCATTGACCACCACCCCCTGTCTGCGGCCTTTCAACCAATTGCTTATCCATCGGGTCGTCCACCCATCAAATCCACTGCTCTCCAATTTGGAGATGAGGATGTGGTGGGGGACCATGTCAAAGGCCTTGCTCAGGTCCAGGTAAATGACATCGGTCGCCTTCCCTTCGTCCACCAATGCTGTCACTCCATCATAGAAGGCCACAAGATTAGTTAGGCATGACCTTCCTTTGGTGAAGCCGTGCTGGCTGTCTCGGATCACATGCTCATTCTTTATGTGATCGAGCATGTTGTCCAGGAGGATCTGTTCCATGATCTTCCCAGGCACGGAGGTGAGACTCACCGGCCTGTAGTTCCCCGGGTCCTCCCTGCTCCCCTTCTTGTATATGGGAGTGACGTGACCCTTCCTCCAGTCATCCGGGACCTCACCTGACAGCCACGACTTCTCAAATATGATGGAGAGCGTCTCGGCAACCACCTCAGCCAGCTCCTTCAGGACCCTGGGATGCACGCCATCCGGCCCCATAGACTTGTATTCATTCAGTCTAAGGAGGCACTCTCGGACTTGCTCTGCCCTTACAGTGGGGAGGGATTTACCTCCTTGGTCCCCACATAGAGGTTTGGGGATGCAGGGCTCAGGGACGTGAAAAAGACTAGAATCCTGGCCACCAGTGAAGACCGAGGTGAAGAACTCATTCAGCACCTCAGCTTTCTCTTCATCTGTTGAAGCCAGTTCTCCTTTTAAATTTACCAAAGTAGGTACGCCCGTTTTGGCCTGTCTCTTCTGGGCAATGTACCTGTAGAAGGTTTTCTTATTGTTTTTCACGTCCCTCGCGAAGTTCAGTTCTGTCTGCGCCTTGGCTTCCCTGATACCACGTCTGCAAGTCCGGACGGCATCCCTGTACTCTTCCCAGGTGACACAGCCTTGTTTCCAGAGCTTGTACACCCCTTTCTTCGCCCTCAGTTCTCTCAGCAGGACCTTGCTGAGCCATGCCGGTTTCCTACCTCGCCTGCCCACTTTCTTATTCAGAGGAATGGAGACCTCTTGTGCTTCCAGGAGGGCATCTTTGAAGAGCCGCCAGCTCTCCTCAACATCCTTGTCTTTAAGGGCAGCGCGCCAGGGGATCTTGGCCAGCAATCCATTGAGTAGCTTGAAGTCTGCTTTTCTAAAGTTCAGTGTCCTTTTCCTGCTCTTTGCCAGGCCCACATCGCTTGAGATCACAAACTCAACCAGGGCGTGGTCGCTGGAGCCCAGGCAGCCTCCAACCTTGACGCCTTTGATGATCTCCTCGGCGTTGGTGAGCAGCAGGTCTAGCAACGCTTCACCTCTGCTCGGTCTGTCCAATACCTGAACCAGAAAGCTATCGTCAATGGATTCCAAGAGCCTTCTGGAGCTCTTGCAGCTCGCCGTGTGGTTTTCCCAGCAGATGTCCGGATGGTTGAAGTCCCCCACCAGGACAAGAGCTCGTGAGCCAGACATCTCACGCATCTGGAGCAAGAAAGCCTCGTCAACAGCCTCCCCTTGATCAGGTGGTATGTGGTATACCCCTAACACCAGCTGACCTATATTAGTCCCATCTCTAATCCTAACCCACAGGCTCTCAACCTGTTC